AAAACATTTTTATCAACTAATAAACTTAACCTTAGTTAATCTTTAGGATCTTGCAATGCACTCTAGAAGTAGTACCACACCATACGGCTTTAAAATTAACTTTTAAGAGACTGGTGATCCATCTCTGGTTTGCTTTCTGACCAAACGTGCACAAGGCTTATCCTTCTTTGTGGCCAAGCCATTATCTAGCTGATGACTTGGATGATTCACTGGCATCAAACGCTTCACACCTCAGTCATCAACATGATCATCACCAGTCTCTTAAAGACGCAATAAGAAAATCTGTATAGCCATTACTCTAGATTTTTTTTTTTTAAAGTCAAAATCTGTCTATTTGAAATAAGTAACAATTTAAAGAACAATGGAAATTTCACTGGAAATGATTATGCTATTTCCAGCAATTAGACTTTTGGTAAAAGAAAAAAAAAAAAAAAAAAAACATTAACAGTTTAACATCAAGCCAGCAGGCACCTTATCCTGGTATATTGTGCATAAAAAAGCATTCCCATCTGCTTCAATGCTTAGGCTTTTTCATGGGCTTAAACCTGTCAAATTATTCCATTTGATTTCAAGAGAATTCTCATATGGCAATCTATTTTATTTACTTTATCTTCAATAAAATGGTTGAGTGAGCATTAGCAACTATGAGACACAAGTTTCAATCAGTCCTCTAGCAAAGGCGTCAATCTACATTAGACCTACTGTGCTGTGAGTTGCAGCCAGAAAGCTGGAGTAAGACAGGGCAACAGTGAATGAGTGAGAGAGACCTAATAAAGCAGCAGAGAGGAGAGAGAAAATTCTCCCTAGACACTACCACACACTGCTTATATAATGTGTGTGCCTAGCTCAACACACCAGTAGCTCCTTAATAAAGCTGACAGCTAAAAAGGAGATTCAGACTCCAACTTTATTTTACATGACAACTACAGTAATGGTCCTCTGTTCTCAAGCAGGCCACATTTAGAAACCTGCATTCAGTTCACTTAGAAATTAAGAGTTCTCACCTCTCTTATTCACACCGCAGAAAAAAAAAGAAGCATAAAATTATTAAAATGCACGCCATCTCTCTCTATGTCATAAAATTACTAGAAAAAAATGCCAGATTTCAGCTAGCTTTTCCCTAAAATTTTCTATGATAGAAACCACAAAATAATCAGTGTATTTGAGCAACAGCTCATTTTCTAAAGATGGTATCATTAAGGACTAATTCCAAGAAATGTGGGGTATCACTCCTAGATGCTGTGAAAATATCTCCCAAAGCACAAACTTTGTAATAAGTGATGCAAGTTCGTATTTGATATGGGCTGTAAAAGCAGATTATTATAATAGTGCTCTTCCCAGCAAACCAGACCATTTAGACTGCACTTAATGTTCAGCTGAACTGAAACCCAGCCAGCTTAAATCCATGGTTTGATACTTCGTATAATCATAGCAAAAATCTAACACCTCCTAGTCTGAGACCATGAATTCAATTCTATCAACTACATTTTGGCAGAAGTTGACTTCATTTACATTGCCTTCAGGCTCTCCCAAATAAGTAATTTACAGCTATTAATAATAGTTCTGGATAGGTGATTCAAAATTCCCCAATACTCGGTATCTACTCCTTTAAAAAGTAAAGTACTGATTGTTTCAGACTTCCTGGTAGAAACTAGACTGAAGATAAAACCCACCGGCCCACATCCAGTTACTTTTTGGAAAGCAGATACTGTATTTTCCTTCCAGTATTATGCTGTGTTTCTTTCTCTCCTTCACTTCTGTCTTCTGACCAGACATGCGGAAGGCTTTAGCCTTTGCCATGGACATAGGCAATGCCAACCCACCACCAGGCTGATGGAATGACTTGGATGATTCACTGGCATCAAATGTTTCACATCTCAGGCATTGTGACATGATCACCAGCAGCAGTATGCCCTCCCATACCTCTTGAGAGAATTCAAGTTCAGCTGCAAGACAACTGTCTGTGAGAAGTATCTTCATACTAATCTGACAATACTGTAATACAAAATTGTATTTTTGTACTACATAAAATAAACATCTAGAGAAAGACTGAATATTTAGTAGGTAAACAAAATGCGTCCATATACAATAAGCATACACAAGTTCACAAGTGTAATGTCCTACAGCATGAGAAAAAGCCAAGAATCAGCACCGTGTCTCCTTCTACAAATTGCCAATACAGCACAGAGAGCTAGATCAATTCAATAATAATTAATTCTATATCTGCAATTCAGTTCACTAACACACAAAAAAAAATAGAAAATATTTAGAAAATTACCCCAGCTTCTTCATCAAAGCCTAAATAACTCCGAAAGTCCAGAAATAACTGGTTAACTAATAATCTCTAAGTGTCAATTTAAGTCATCACTTGAAAATCAGATCATTTTTTCCCAGTATGGACTTCTATCTTTGTTTCAGCTTCTCCTACTCTAATTCAGTTTTCTAGATGTTCCTCCTGAAGTCTCAATGGTTTAAAGACAGAGTAGAAAAAACACATGTCTCTATGCTAATAAAAATTTACTCATAAACTCAATTTTCTTTTTTTGTATTTGTATCACTACTCTCATGACTGAATCGTAGCTTTCAGTCAGTGCAGAGACACCATATCCTGCCATAAAAATGCATCAACTCTGTATGACATACTGAAGAATCAGTAGTCAGAATTTACTACTATTTCCTCGTGGACTACAAAAACATTCCCTTCCCGCTTTCACGTACTGCAAAAAATAGAGACCACTGCTGAAGAAGCCAAAAAAGACTTTGGCTTTCTTTACAGAAAGCACTTTTATAGATCGGACTTAACTTCAAGTAATGGAAGAAAATAATGGAGGAAACAGAGTAACAGTTATTTTCCTCCATATGCCTTAAGTTCCAGACATATTGGAATTCAATAAAATGATACTGCCAAGCTATTATAGATGCACAAGTCAGTACTACTGCATTTCTGACATTATTTGGTACCAAAAACAGTCAATTTCCAGAAAAACATTCTCAAAAAAAATCTGTTTGACTCATCAGGTTTCAGATACAAGACACTTTATTAAAATAAGCACGTTTCTATCAAAACAAACAGTTCTCCAAAATACCACTTCTTCATAGACACTGCCTGTGTTACACCTCTCAGACAAACATGTATAAATACGTAATAGGAATACAGTCATGTTTGCACCGCTAGTTAGAAAGCAAAGAATCTGAACCTTTTTCACTGGTTTCTCCTCTGGGTAATATAAGAAAAAACACTCTTTTGTAAATACACTGCTACATAATTAACACGTAACCATACACAAATTTCGACATGATCAAAGTCTACAGTTTTCAGTGCTCTACACCCTCTGATTTACAATACACTAGGCTCAAACTGTATCTTTCCCTTTTTTTCTTGGTTCCACCATAGTCATGCTGTACCCTTCAGGCCTGTACTTAAGCTCACTGAAAAAAGGTGAAATTAATTCAGAAGAAAGGAATTTTCTTTCTTATTAGCCAGTGGGTAAAGACAGCCACAGAGGACCACATACCAGAATCGTCTTGTTTGGTAGTGCTTCAAATGAGGTTAAAAAGGCCCACGCTTCTTCCCAGAGGGTGGAACTTCAGAAAACTCCTTATAAGCAGTTTCAACGCTAATTACTCTCACCATCAACTTCTATTGGAACTATCTCTTTTCTTCCAAGCCATCAGTCCATGGAGATGGCTCTATTAAGAAGAATATAGCTGTATTTAAATAGTTTGTAATACCTTAGAAATTGCTGCAAATGCAGAGAAATAGTATGTCTTTACTCTGGAAATAGCAGTGTATAGATAAGCAGTTGGACCTGTGTGTTGTTGTTGCAAATGTTGAGCACATTTTGAAACTTGTATGTGACAATATTGCCTAAACAAGTATGAAAAATCTGAAATTGATGCTAGAGGCTTCCTAAGCTCTTATCTTACATAAATACTTTCAGAATATCCCTTTCTAGATCTCCCTAAGGTAAAAGAACTCGTATCTTATCTGACTTACTCAATATATATGTGAAGGTCTGGAGCAAAGCAAGGTATTAGGTGCAGGAATGCCAATCCCAGAGTGGTACTACGTACACCAATTCTGAACAGGCAGGTTCAGACTGTTAACACACATTGCAGTTCAAATAAGATTTGAACTCATGGTATTTGACATCATGGAATATTCCTAATTCCCAATGGAACAGAGGTCATTCCCATTTTAACGGACTATGAAACACAGGAATTCATTAGTAGTTTTATCTTTTCTTTTGCTGAAAAATGCTCAATTATTGCAGAAAATTATACAAATACAATCCAAAAGAATTTTCTAAACAAATATGATGCATCGAAACTATTCAGTGAACCTTCATTCTAACCACTCATCAATAAACAAAATTATGGAACAAAAATTTACCCTCAGTGATCGCTGTACTAATTTCTTTCTACCAACTGTACTAAAATCCTTTTATAGCAAAAGTCAACCATGAGATTCCAACAGCGTTACCACAGTAAGCCTGAGAGCAAATGCAAAAGACACTATATTAAATAAAAAGATCTTTTATACTGTATCTTTGTTCACTATTCTTAAGGAATAATCTTGTTATTTTCTAGATAACAAGATCAGGTTATAGATAAAACATCAAGTATGGTTTTTTTCAGCTCGTGGGCAGAACGTGACAATACCCCTACAGGGTGAAGCTAAAATCTGACTTGTTACAGTGGAGTTTTCTTCTATCCCTATATCCTCCAATGCTCCAGAGACCTTGCAGAAACAACCATGTTCCCTTTTTTTTGCTAGGTTTTGTGTTGTTATTTTTTTGTTTTGTTTTTTTTTGTTTTTCTCTCTGGTTGGCACTTAAAAGCCAGGGAAAGCCTGAAAGATGTCATCACAGTAGAAGCAGCCATACATCTCAGTAAATGAGAGGAAGGAGAGTGCAACTATTTGAATATGGTCTGGCGAGCAAAAAACAGCAATTCCACAAAAGCTGCAGAATATAATTCTCAAAAGATTAGTAACTTACCTGCTTCTTCTGAGCCTCAAAAAGATCTTTAAATTCAGCCTTGAACTGGAGCGATGTCCAAAATCAATTCCAGTATCACCATCCTGTAAGACAGAGAGAAATATTTACAGCTATGTAGACATCACTTAATCAAAGCAAAATAGAAAAGGCTTTATCACATCCCTCAATTACTTTCACCGTGCTTAAGCTGGTTCATAAGTAATGTGAAAGAAAAAAGGAATTATAATTTTCAATATTGACTGAAATGTTTTGGGTAAAATCTTGAGCAAGTTTAAAGAGAAAGATTCCCTTAGCATACAGTCAGCTTAAAGAACAAAATTTACTGTAGTTCACAGGAAATATAATCATTCATCAAGTCTCTGACGTGCAGTAGAGGGAAGATGAGGCATCGCTCAACGTCTAGTCTTATTCTTTTTATTCCTATTTTTCATTATTTATGTACCTGAAGACAAACAAGAGAGAGCCCCACTCTACCCCCCCCCCAAGTAGTTTGTTACAGACAAAGAATTGCATTCAATATCACTCACAGAAAGTTCAGTCCACACTGAAGGAAGGTAAAAAAGTGGGGAAGACAACACAATAATAAATTTAGATGTATATGTATTTTAGATAGGATGGAAAGACAGGAACACTTTGGACACTTGAGATTACAAAACTGCATTCAAGGGAGAGAGATGGGCAAGGCAGAAGAAATAAAGACCTTGCAGGTCTGTAGAAACTTTCCTGACATTGCATCTATGCTACCCAATTAAGCAATGCTTGAGCACATTTCTATTTGCTGAAATCAGCTGGCACACATCAGCCTAGATCTATGCCATTATACTCACATACCATTCGAAATACAGGGCTAGCATGCAAACTGTCTAACGGAAACAGTCAAATGTCTGGAAAATTTCTGGAATAAAGTCACTTTGGAAAGACCAAAAATGTGGCAGGGGCCTGGAAATATTTCCAATCACTGCTTAATTTACTAATATGAATGTAGCCTTAATGCCTGAAACTCTGCTACTTCTGAAGTAGCCTCTCATTGGTGCCTCTTGGCAATTTTCCCTTACTGACAAGGTCAGACAGAAGCAGACTGAAAAGCAAAATGAATGCAGAATTTTATAAAGAGAAGACTGCTTTCCCAAAGTTTAAAAAAAAAATAAAAAAAAAATCTGTGTTCCAACTGGCATTATTAATACACACTTTGTTACAAAATGTTTGGACATTTAAAAGAGTTCCAGTTCTAACTTCTTCCTTTGTTTGTAGAGTATAGCAAAACCTGCTGGGAAGGTCGAAGTTCCTAGGAAACTGAAAGCTACCTGGCAGCCTCTGTAGAGCAAGTGAAGAAGGAAGAGCAGAGAATGACAGGCTGAAGGAATAAACACTACGTGAAACCCCTGCACAGTAGGACAGCACTGGGAAATGAGGACAAAATCATATGCTCTCTTAATGTAAAGAAAGAAAAGAAGAAAATGTGAAAAACAGATAGAGATTCTAAGGCAAACATGAGGAGGTGAAGATGGGCAGCATTCCTGAAAAACTGCTGGAACATAAAATATGTGTCAATGAAACTTTGTTTGATTGACACACGGTTATCCCAGATCCAAAATGGCAATGTCCAGACAACCGAGAGCAGCATCCATCTTGCCTCCTGTTTCCCATTAAACCACTGCACACACAGCTATGCATCCAAACCTCTGAATTTTCTTCTGCACTTGAAGTCTAGACAGAAATACAGTCTGCAGTCATTTCTTCAATAATATCTGTTTCTCTTGATGGATATTACTATGTGGGCCTTGAGTGTCTGCATCTTTGTTTTTCTCCTGTATTCCTTTACTTCAAATACTCAGTTTTCTTAGTTTGGATCATACTAATAATCACATTTTGCTTTGGCCCACAAAAAAAGACAATACATTTCAGATTCATGACAATACACATCAAAACATTACCTATTTTGGTGAGATACAGCCTTCTTATAAGAAGTTATTGAAGACAACATTTTATTCTAATTAATCGCTTACAAATAGGCTCAACATGAAAACAACCGCACCTGCAAGTCTCAATTATTGGTATTTTATCTTTGCTCTTTTTGAATGTGCTTTCTAGAACTTTTCAAATGCCAATAACAAACATTCACAGTAGAAAGGCGTATCCACAGTACACGCAATAGATGTGTGCGTTAGACACATGGCAGGCCTCACCTAGTAACTTCCTTTTTACCAGTACAGATATTCATCTTCAGAAATGCATCACTCAACCTCCATCTCATGTACACTACATTCGCATGTGGTCTACCCTGATGAAGGCAGCTGACTCTTAAAACATTTATTTTTCCTGTTACGAACACTGATGTGTTTTCATTTCTGTCCGCATCCTAAAACATGGATCCAGATCCTTTCAGTTATTTCAGTTTAACAACAAAGTTTCTCTACCCTCCCTTCAACAATGAAGCACATTCCATTCCGCTGCCCATCACAGGTAGATCTGAACATCACTGTTTGCCTATCCAATATTGACAATATTGACAGAGACATTTTTCTATTTTTCAGGATCTAAGAATTCCATCAGAATTCTCCTTAAAGGAGTACAATTAAATTCACAAAACTTCCCAAGATCTTAAAAGTATCCTAACAATTTATCTTCTAGATAAAGTTGACTGGGCACAGTCAAGAACTTCCCAGCAGCCTGATGGAGTACTTCCTATTCACACAAGGACACTTACATCAAGTAAACAGCAGAATGCAGCTGAATGAAAATAATCTATATGTCACCCATCTTCAGCTTCTTATTCAAGTCCCTACATTTTGAGTCAAACAAGCAAGACCACAAACTTCTGTAAAGCCTGAGAAGAGCGTATGGGTAAACAACTGAATTAATTTGGGATGTAGATACTCATTAGAAATGTAGATTTGGAGGAATTCCAATCAAATTCTTCTCAAATTGATAAAATGTGCAGTAATTATGTTGATCCATCTAGTACGAAAGCTTTTCGTGCCCTTTTCAACACCAACAATGTAATACAGTTAGGGCAGAATTCTGTCACATACCATGCTGCAAACAACATTTTACATGAAAAGCATTATTCATTAGGATCGCAACTAACAGGATTTACATGGATTGTCTCAACTCTGCCAGAAATCAATAAAATGTATCTTAAAAAAAATGAAGTGAAACCCAAATTCACCCCTATTTTGAGAAATTCCTTTGAAACTTAAATAAACAAGTACAGTACCCATGTGCTGTAAACAAGTTCCTTTAGCTTTTTCATTCTGTTGCGGAATTCACCTTATAGCTCATCTCACATTTTGATCGTGTTTAGATCATTACCTGTTACATGTTTGAATCCTGTGCCCATGACAACATTTTGATGTGAGATTACACGTTTATATTCATTATCTTGGCTTGTCAGTGCCCTTCAGTACCTTCTAAAAATGTAACTAACTCCACGGAAGTATGCCAAAGTTCTACTTCTTGATAGATACCAAAGGTGCCTCTATTTCACTCAGGCCTAGCCAGGTACATTTTTTTATACAGTAAAAGGGGACCAAATTATTCATTACTACTTTAAGCGACGATTTGACCAACTCACCAAAGCACTCAGAAGTACTTTAGTACATGACTGAATGCCACATGCAAAAGATATAGTTAGATATGCTTACTGGTGGGGCCAAACACACAGCTAATTTCAGCAAAACAGTAATTACTCAGTAGAGACAACGAATGGGATTTTAGTGGCATATAAGACAACAGGACTCAAAGCAAGACTTACATTGCATCGTATCAATTGGATATCCTGAATTTTGGTTCAAAATACACATTTATCTATTTTCAAAGTATGAAATAAAAACACTGAAGTTATAATTAAAAATGCACAGTATGACTACAATATATTTAAACTACTTCAATACACAAAAGCATTTTTAATGAGTGTTATGTACTAAGGCTGCTCCAAAAGTAATGCCTCCTGTTTTATTATGACGGCTCACAACATTAGAGGCAGATGTTTCTGGTTTGCCAGTAGAGGTTGAACCTTCCCACCAGTGTTCCATTATATATCGTTGCTGTGTGACAGACTGCTGTAGAGAGGCTGTCTGACAAATGGCATCTGACATGGAGTACATATGAAATAAAGATGTGTCATCTAATTGCTCCACATGGAAAAAAATAAAGGCACTCATTCACATTCATTGATGCTTGCTGAATGTTTCTGAAGACCAAACACTGCATGTAACCACACTGAGACAGTGAATGTTGCCTTTCTTCAGCAGTGGTGTCAGCAGGTCACCTCCACTGATGCAGATTTCTACAAGCACAGCATACAGATTCTTATTCATTACTGGCAAAAATGCACAGTTAATGGCAGTGACTATGTTTAAAAATAGTATTTTGTAGCATAGTATTTTGCTCTATCAAATAGTGGTTTTGTGTTCTTGGTATCTGTTGTAGTTTCCATGGAAATAAATAGGAGGCGTGACTTTTGGAGTTGCCTTATAGATTGAAGCACTGCCAATAGAGAAAAAGCAGCACATCTCTTCTTTTCTTGTATCTAAGTATTGAGTTGAACATTTTCCATGACTGAGAAATACTCAGAAGCTCACGACTAGATGAGCACTACTGGATGCCATTATAATTAACAAGAACATGCAAAATAAATTAGTAGTTATGTTTTATAATCATTCCAAATTAAATGAGCCTATGAAAAGACCTTCATACTACTCTGATCTCATTAGTTAATTTTTACATGCCACTCTGCATTAATATTTAGACAAATGAAGGCTGGATTTTCTTATCAATGTGTTCAAACAGAAGAGCTATGGTGGAGGGAGTAAGCAATCATATTTTTACCTGACACAGAAAAAATAATTAATTTCTGAACATTTCTTGATCTGCCAATCTCCAGCAACTGCATCTTTTTCAAACTCTTTTTTTTAACAAAAACTGTGCTGTGTACTTACAGAATTTCACATTAAATTCCATACTGCTAAAATTAATCTTGAATTTTCATAAAATAGAATTTTTTATCAAAGTATCTATACTCAATTAATCATAACAATATGCAAATGTGCAAAGAAATACATAAAGAAAAAAATAATACAAT